GTTTCTTTGCTTTTCACTAACTCTTAAGTTCAAATATCTGTTCATTTATTCTTATAAACAAAGATTAAGAGGATGTATTATTGAAGTAATGCAGAGAGCATTTATAGAATTGGGGAATTTTAGCGTTTGGCATTTAATCCGTTCTAGACCGGAAGTGCTACACTCTCTTGTTGGAATTGCTAAGAGAATGATGTAAAAAAGCAGTTGATTACCGCACAACAATGAACGTTGTAATAGTAAAAAAGAAAAATGAAAATAGACATAGCTATTGTTCAAGAGCCGTAATTTCTGTATCAAGGTTATTAAATTTTATGTCCGTAACTAAAGAATAAATCACTACGTTGAGCCGCTCTCGCAACGCATAGGGCCATCACTACGTTGAGCCCCTCGGATAGTGCCGGTCCGGAATGACGGTTATGCTTTACAAAACTCTGTTTGAATTTTAGGGGACGATTTTTCTTTAAACAGAAATTTTCAGGTGCTGTACGCATTGTGCGTAAAGAAATGTTCACACAGAAATACACATTTTACGGATCTTTTGAAGCGAACTCCGTTAGGTTCCACCATCACTGGTATCTCTCGTCAATTTGATTCTTTATGGTCCCAACTCTGAAATACAAGCTAGCAGTTTAACCAAGTCTCAAGCTGGTCTTACCATCTCTCAGTTGCTACAGTACAACAGTTACCATCGCCAACCCACCAACAAGAGCATCTCTAGTGGAACACGCCAAGCGCGCTGCATATCAGGCGGGTGACTGCTGGGGACACAAGAGTGGGGATGGATATTGGATGAAGGCATTTGGAAGCCATTCTGGACAACATTACCTCATGTGAAAAAATAGTGTCGAGAAGTTGTTCAATGCGGATGTAAACAAGGATGTCAGAGAAGATGTGCCTGTACAGAGGCAGGCTTACGCTGTACTGTACTGCCCTTTGCACCTGCACGGATGACTGTGATGATACATGATTGTTATTCAGGCTTCGATTTATTGAATTTTAATTATTTCTTAAGAAAATAAATAGAGTTACGGTGCTTTACAGATGAACGATGAATAATTTACCGAAATACAACAACAACAACATAAACTTTATTTTCACTCGAATTTATAGAGGGTAACAAAGTAACTTTTTGTAACATTACTCTGCTGTCAGGCAAAATTCTAGGCTAGGAAAATACTTTTGTTTATTGATCATAGATGTAAAACTAGAAATGTAGAGTGGAATAGGATCAAAATATTAATACGAAGGAAAACGATCATGGCTTAGTTTGAAATTGTTTGCATTTTTGTCGTGGATTGTAGTAACATAATCCCCGACCCTCTCCATTTTTAAACTGCACAATAATAACTTTTTCACACCACAAAAAATAGTTAAATTCATTATGCATCTCCCTAGTCTGTCGATATTCAAATTAATTGATCCAGAGAAAAATTCTTTTTTAAACTACTTCCGGTTTGAAATTTCTCACTTCCGGTTTTAATTGATGGCTATTTTGGACAACCCATAACGTTTCGCGATGGCTCCATGTCCACATTTGATAGGCACATGAAGTTATACTCTTCTGCCAAGTTTCATGCTTTTAACCAAAAGTCGCACAATCCATGCACATATCCGCCCCACTTTAATTCAAGTCTGAGCGTAACCCGTATAGGTAAAAACACCCAAATTCTTACCCGTCCCGAGCACCCAATGTGAAAAACGATTCGCAAATTACAATTCTAAGGGAGACGACGAGCATCTTCGTCCTTTCCTGTGAACGCGGTAAGTGAAAATAGTGAAAGTCTAACGCAAGAAATGAAAAGGAATAATCACAGGCCAGTGAGTATGAACCTGCAGGTTTTCGGTAGAATTCTATAGCGTGACCACAATGAGTGCGTGATTCAATATTTGCTATCACTCGGCAACGAGGTTCAGGTCCTTTGACTTTCGCTTTCAACGTCCGGGTTCGCATCGGTTCAAGTTACCCGACACAAAATGGCAAGACTTGCAATCGTTCCTTTTATCGTCTTTTACTTCGTGCTGTGTGTCATATCTGAAGGTAAGAATGAATAATAATCAATGAAAGGTTTTAGCCATATTGTGGGTAATATTCGGGAAGCCAAACACAACCCTATTCCATATACAAACAATTAAAATAAGGTGGAATACTACCTCTCCCCCGGGTCGCTCTGTTTTTAGAATACCGCAATATCGAATGAATTTACACCCCAATACTGCAAACGAATATTTGAAACATTTATTCGTACACCTACATGATTAGGGTTTATAGCAAAGATGATTTCTGGTCTTCAGGACCCATTTGCAAATTAAGAGGAAAATGGTCTTCTTGCGTGAATCATTCTGGCGAGCGATTTGATTTGCGAAAGCTGGTAAAATTCTTCGTTGAAAACTGTTTCAATTGCAAAATTTGTTGTAAACATATACTGTAATTTGGTACGATCTGTTCTGATCCGGGGGAATGTGCTATCTACATGGATTAATGGCAGTTCAGTACTGCTTGCCAAGGGCAAAATGTGCACTTACTTCGGATAAAATGCCGAAATGCAAACTTGAGGTAATGCCAGATATTGAGTGAAACATGCAGTATGCACAAAGAAATAGATGTCCAGGTCGTATATGTTCATAACATTAAATACTGGAATGATATAATACCCCTACCCGCCAAGACTGATGCCCGGAGTGTTTCCTTTTGTAAACAAACAGCTGAGTACAGGGAAAAAAATTCCGCTTTTATAATAGAGGCTTCTCCGTAATAAAAACATGTCTAATGGCGGACAGTTCTCGTGACCTTTAAGATATCAAATTTTATACGATCCCTATAAAATACCTCTGTTTACTACAGACACCTCTGTAATGCGGCGTACTTGGCTCTTGGCTCTTTATTGTATGTGACACTGTGTTATCATGATCCTTAAAAAGAGTAGTCTTGTTACAGCTGGTCATTTAAATCGCAAGACCGTGTCAGGGAGGGGTAACATTGTAGGTTTGTCCAAAGAGGTAAACAAGGCGCAAAAACAGCTCGCGAATGCATGTTCTTCTTTAGGTCAGATGACAAAATGTGAATTCAAAAGGACATGCAGTAAAAATTAAAAAAAAAAAACCTGGGTCGCTTAATCATAGCTGGGTTAAGATAATCCAGGGTTAATGCGAAATTTTAATTCAAGTTTGAGAGCTGAATTAAAAAAAAGTCAGTCTTATTCTTTTAATCTAAAATTTGATCATTGGATGCTTTAAAAATTAGTAGAGAAAATTGTCCGAGAAAATGCTTTTGAACAAAAGAAAAAGAACCCCGTATTAACCGGCCTTCGAAAAACTGGACTCAGATTATTTTTTTGTTATTTCATTTGTCATACCACATTTGTCAAACAAGTAGAAAGCTGGTAAGATTGGACTGTGTCTGCCCCTAAAGAATAATTTTGAATGCCTAACATGACAATTCCTAACAGTTAGTGTAGCTTCAGTTTAAGCCACAATTCTCATCTGTAGATCACTTTACGTGAGAAAACAATAGATGGGCCTAGCGTTACAAACCATAGCAGTGAATCATCACACTGATGGACAAAACAACCACAGTGGAACCCCGCCTTACGGCCACCTCCGTAATACGGTCACCTCGTTATTACGGCTACTTTTCTTTGGCTGCCCGGCAAAACGGCCGTACATTTTCTTGCAAAGAAAAAACCTCGTCAATACGGTTACCCGTTTATACGGCCAATTTGTCTGGCCCATTGGTGACCGTATTAACGGCGTTTCACTGTATAGGGGGTAATGCAGTCAAGTAAATACCTTAGCGCTTTTAAAATTGGCCACAGAAAACCGAATCCTGACAGAGCTACAGACAATAAACTGCAAGAAATAATTAATCAACATGCATGGCCAGCTTCATGGCCTCTTAATGTGAGACAAGCAGCCAAAATTAAGATTTTCACAGTCAGAGTTTAAAATTCTCCGCAGTATAATCTACCCGGTAGAAAGAAAACTAGAAAACCTCTGAGGGATGTTCTAGAGCAAGATGATAAGGTCACGATTCGCGAGCTTATGATTGTGTTTGGCCTGTCACTACTGTATTTCCTGTGCACGTGTTGTTTGATGTAGAACAATAGCACTGTCAATACTTTGTTGTGATTGGTTGGGAACCGTTCTATTAATATATCTACTCAGGAAAGGGTTTACTTCAAGGGCTTGTATGGGAGATAAAGGCTCCTAGTCATAGGCTCCTGATCTGAGTCACTAAGACGATGCGACACCATCTTAGACAATGCATGGGGGTGAGGGAACCGGAGACAAGCTTAGCTTAGTGAGAAACTTCAAAAACTTCAAAATCGTGCTATCAGAGTTATCACAAAATCTAGCTATGATACTAGTTCCAGATTTCTTCTTAACTCGCTTGGTTGGGACAATTTATCGGTTAGAAGGGCTCAACAAAAGGCTGATTTAATGTACAAGTGCATCAATAATCTCGCCCCAGCTTATCTCTGTAATTTGTTTACCCCAAGAACACCGAATTACTTTTTTTGGCAACGCGAAGAAAAAATTAATGCACCCAAAACCAAGAACTGATTACCTGAAGCGTAGCTTCAGTTACAGTGGCGCTGTTCTATGGAACAATCTTCCTGAGGAAATACGTACATCAAATTCCTTAGGTTTCTTTAAGAGAAGTTCCCATAGATGATTTTCTGATCAGTACTCCCACACGGCAAATATGTAAAACAGTTTTGAGAATTTTTAATTAATTTTCTATATTAGACTGATGTTTTTAACCGTGTTTAAATAAAGTTATCATTCATTCATTCATTCATTCAACTATAAACTCTTAAAACCCTTGCATTTATTCTAATCGGCTGCAAATTTCTCTGGTTTCTTATTTCACTTCTTACCTCGCATCGTTTTGCAATTTAAAAGTATTTTTATGATCTAACAACAATAACTTGTTATTTTCGCTCCTTTTTGTAGGAACGGTCACCGAGGGAAAGTACCTGTACATTTCTCGAGCTTTGGGTAACGACACATGGTCATGTGATCAGTCAAAACCTTGTAAAACCATTTCACGGGCTGTTGAGTTAGCGTCAAGTGGGGATCACATTCTGTTGGATGGCAATAACACTGACAAAGATCCTTACAACTGTCAGTCAATGCCACCAGAGCTTTCAGGAGTTCAGATCAATAAGAGTTTGTCTATTATGGGATATGGCAGTCCAATGCCTCACATACAATGCAATAAAGGAGCAGGTTTGCAGTTCAACGGTTCTAATAACGAGCAGCAAATGAATGTAACTTTATCAAGGTTACTTGTAAGTCAAAGCTCTATCATGGTCCAGGATTCTTCTGTTCGTATCGATGGTTGTAGATTTGAAAGAAGCAAGGGTGTGGTGATCAACATTCGTTCCAGGTTAATATTAAATATTCTGGTTAGGAATTCGATCTTTTATAATAACAGTGCATGCATCTCAGTCGTCGTGAATAGTACAAAGAAACAGTCAAAGAAGATTCAAGTAGTTTTCAAAATGAGAAATTCTTCTTTTTTATATAGCAATGTACGGAAAGATATGGGCAAATGTATTTCGTTCACGGAATCACAGAACAGTAGCCAGTCTGTAAGCTGCGATATCACCTTGGAACATACAACTTTTTCCGGCAACAAATTTATCTTACCACAGGGTCTTATTTCTTTAGAGATCAACAATGGCAGCCAAAGCATACAATTCAAAAGTGTGACTTTCTTTGACAATGATATTCCATCAACGAGAGAGGATTTGATAATTGACAGTGTATTATGCATTGTTCGCGGCACCGATGTAAATATTTCTATAAGTTCGAGCAAATTTAGCAGTGAGTATGCTAAAGTACTCAATGGAAGTGCAGAGGATATTTCTTTTCACATCTACAACTCCACTTTCCGTGGTCACAGAGGACGTGCTAATGGCGGAGTCATCTCTTTACAAGGAACTAACTTATGCAAGTTGAACGTATCAAAATCATCGTTTGCAAACACATCTGCTGTTGTGGGTGGAGCAATCAGCATTGAGTGTTTCATTATTGATGCTGTCAGCCTTAACCAGAATAATTTCACAAACAACACAGCATCTAATGTTGGGGGAGCGCTATATATCAAGGCTTTTAGGGCCTCAGTAGTACTGCGGCATTTAACTTTTACCAACTGTAAAACTTTCAGTGTTGCTGGAAGTGGAGTTTTAATAGACAACAGGCTCGAGTCACGAAACAGAAAGCCTGAAAACGAATTGGTATTAACGGTGGAGAACTGTCATTTTGAAGAATGTGTGACTGAGGGTGATATGTCTATTATTATTGGTGGGTCTTTGACTGTGTTTTATAAAACACAAATTAATATAAACATTAGTAACAGCAATTTTATTTCCAATTATGGCGCTCTAACCATAGCACCTTTTCCAAACTTATCTGAATTGACAGCAAACACAGGCAGTAAGTCGATTAAAAAGAGCTATGTGAAAATACAAAACACCATATTTTTGCACAATAGTGGCCTTATTATTGCTCCCGTCTTAATATATGTATCCAATCAAAGTGTCGTTATTTTTCAAAATGTGACTATGGAATCAAATAAGGTGTTTTCTAATGGCTTGGGAGGAGCTGCCTATGTCGGAATTGATTGTTTTCTTACAATACAAAAGTGTCGATTCTCCGAGAATACGGGGGATATTGGAGGTGGCGCATTGTATGTTGCCGTTAACTCGCTCATTGTCAAAGATTCATTTTTTGTGGGCAATAAAGTTTCATTTTTAGGTGCTGGAGACGGAGGCGCTCTATTTGTGTTCCGTACTGAAACCGTTGTCATCTTCAACACCATATTCAGGAACTGTTCGGGATCTTCTGGAGGTGCTATCTCAGCAGTATTTTGTGGTAATATAACAATCAAAAAAAGTCAATTCGTAGAAAACAATGCAGGTTACGTAGGCGAACAAGGGTTTGGCGGAGGGGCCATTAACTTAATGGACTGTCAAGTGATATTTGAAGAAACAAGGTTTCAGAGAAATACAGGCCTTTTGGGTGGCGCTGTTTATTTACAAAGTGGTTCAGCAGCATTTAAAAACTGTTATGCTGTTGACAACTTTGCAACAGCTCAAGGTGGGTTTTTGTACGGACACCCTGCGGGTATGAAAAATGTTGTTATACAAGACAGTGCTCTAAATCAAACTATAACAGGGTTGAAGAATTTTGGACTTTTGCACAAAGAAGCGTCATTTATACATGGAAGTAGTATAGAGGAATTAAAAATATTTAACACCACAATGGAATCTACACCATATGACAGTAATGGTCTTCTACTGTTGGTCACAAATGTGACAGTCATGGATTTTGGAAAAGACAACTCGACTATTTTAAACTGTCCTGTCGGGAATGAGATGGAAATTCTTAGTTTTACTACGAGTAATTATCATACCGCTAAAAGCACTTTCGCTTGGCAGTTTAGCTGTTCAGCCTGTACAGGCAATTCCTACAGTCTACAGCGTGGTCGTGCTGTTGGATCTTATGTTGTACCAGGATTTCAGTGTCTTCCATGCCCGTTTGGAGCAAACTGTTCTCAAAATATAGTAGCCAAACCAAACTTTTGGGGTTTTAAAGAGACGATTGCTCCACCAACTCTCAAATTTACCACGTGTCCTGTTGGTTACTGTAGTCCGCCTAACAAAACAGAGTTTCCCAAATACAATGGTTGCCAAGGTAACCGTAGTGACAAATTATGTGGACACTGCAGTGATGCTTACTCGGAGACACTTTACTCTGCAGCCTGCAGACCCTCAAATGAGTGCAATGACTATTGGTTTTGGCCTGTGGCCTTAGTCTACGTATCGCTAATGGCATTTTACTTGACATTTAAACCTCCTATAATACCTTGGATTATGCGTCAAATCAAGTGGTTTAAAACCAACGATACGCCAGACGGGGAAAGTAAGAGCGACGGAGGTTATGTTAAAATAATCTTCTATTTTTATCAGGCAGCGGACCTTCTCCTTGCCTCAAACACATCACTGCGTTTTGTAGAGGGTAAATCAAAGGACATTCTTGTTGGAGTGTTCAGCTTTCGACAATCTTTTTCATCAAATGGACTGATTTGTCCCTTTCCAGGCCTAACAGTAGTAACGAAGCAGTTATTTTCGGCCTCTTACGTATTTGGCACATGCCTTATGATAGGTGTCTTTTATTTCTTGCACAAGGGAGTTCAAAGGTGTCGAAAAAAAGAGGCCCCAACTTTTTCTCCTTATATGGCTGGCATTCTACAGACAATGTTGCTAGGATACAAAACGCTTGCTTCAGTGAGTTTTGAACTCTTACGATGTGTGCCAATTGGCTCAGAGAAACTCTTGTTTTTGGATGGAAACATTGTCTGTTTTCAATGGTGGCAATATATTCTGATTGCTTATGTCGTGGCTTTTGTCATGCCGTTTGTTTTTGTCTTAATTTTGGGTTGTTATAAGTTGCACAACGGAAGCCTATCTGTGACGAAATTTCCATTGGCTTGCTTTTTTCCATTTCCTTTTCTTCTTTATTGGCTATTCCTATTTCTGGTTTGTGTAAAACGAAATGCGGCCCAAACAGACACAGCCACGAGGCGAATGTCCAATAGATCTGTGGAGACGACACTTTTTGGCTGTTTCAAGAAGCCTGCGGAAGGGAGCACACTTTCTTTGAGCTGGGAAAGTGTTATGATCGGACGCCGGCTTATTCTCATTTTGCTGAAAACATTTGTCAATGATCCAATGCCTCGTCTTCTCATTATGAGTTTCCTTTGTGTTTTGTTTCTCCAACATCATTCCATGACTCAGCCGTTTCGAGATGTCATTGCCAACAGAGTTGAAACCATTTCGTTACTGTCTCTTGTCCTCTTGGGAGTGGTAAACATGTTTTTTGCTTCCTTTGTATCTTTGGCCGTTCCAGCGACCGATCGTTTTAAGTTCTGGTGGTATTTCTGTGAAGTAGTGGAAACCATCATTTTATGTGCAGTACCTGCTATTATTAGTATCTTTGTAATTAATGCTGCTTTATCGCTGGTGATCCGCTTTCTTCGCGCTTGTTTCAGGTGCTGTTACAGTAAAGTTAAACAAAGTGAAGATATGAGGCCACTTTTGTCCTGGACAAATTAAAGACAGCCTCTTTTTTCACCTGGTAACGCTTTCTATAAAGCATGTTCTTTTTTAGACCTGTCTGCCTTTTGGTCCCTTTCTAATGTTTATCCTGATTCTGAATGCATTTAGATCTTTTTATTGTAGAAGATAACACTAGATACTTCTGACGTTGTGTTTATTCACTACAATTGGCGACAAAATTAGTTGAGACACTTTGCCCTAAAGGACCTCTCTGACGTTTTGCCAACTTGAAAAGGGGAAAATAATTAGCCAAAACTGGCCGGTCATACCAATGTAGTGGTAAAGAGAATTATATCATTAATCAGGACTGTCCAGCCAGGTCATGTGTTTTTCTAAATAATATGCATGGCTGTTATGAGTTTTTAGCAAGGATATGTATTTGAATTTAAGCTCTCCGCTTAAACACGCTGTACATTCACTGTTTGAAATATTTTTAATATTGCACCGCAGGTACCGGAAACTCGCGAGTAACAATCGTTGTTGCGTAACAGAAATATGTAGTAAGGAGTTTGTATAAGAATTTTAGCGATCGTTTTTGAGGGCACAAAAATAGCAGGAAAATGCAACTGTCAAATAGCTATCGCTAAAATCCCCATAAAACGCTATTTTTGTTGCGCATGCAACAACGATTCTCACTCGTGAGATTAGAGAACCTGTGTAATGTAGTCAGTCACAAATAATACATTTTAGTAAAATCCAACTAGTGGTCTATTATCAATGCTACGTTCTGATTGGTTGAGCTACTACTAGGCTATATGTTATAGCCCGCGAGTAGCGAAAGCGCCGGCTTTTTGGCGGCCAAAAAAAGGATTAAAGTCTAGCTTTAACCAGCTAAAGTTGTTTTGTCTCGATAGTTTTGATCAGCTAGTTGGATTTTACAAAAACTATTATTCCTCTCGCCCTCATGGCCTCTGAGTCAATAGCCCATTCGGCCTTCGGCCTCATGGGCTATTGACTCAGAGCCCATTCGGGCTCGAGGAATAATTGTTAAACAATTATTTTATTTTTTATTCTATAATGATTGTAATTAACCCAGTAAATTAATTTGTTTGTATTGTGTCAAAATGTGTATTTTGACTAATATTGATTCTGGTATAATAATTCAACTATTGTTTCCTGCAAATATTCGATACTGATGACTTTAAAATTTCACTAGTGATTGACTATGAATTGAAGTTTGTCAAAATTCAGTTTTAAGTAATAGCAGGAAAATGCAACTGTTAAATAGCTATCGCTAAAATCCCTATAAAACGCTATTTTTGTTACGCATGCTCACTTGTGAGCTTAGGGAACCTGTGGTTATACTTTAGTGTAGTCAGTCACAAATAATACATTACAATTATTTTATTTTTTATTCTATAATGATTGTAATTAACCCAATAAATTAATTTGTTTGCATTGTGTCAAAATATGTATTTTGACTATATTGATTCTGGGATAATAATTTAACAATTGTTTCCTGCAAATATTCGATACTGATGACTTGTCACTTCCCCGATCTGGGTCATTTAATGCTTCTGATTTGTCCTACGAAGGGAAAAATTTGTTTCAGCCAATCAAAAGCACTACTCACTCTGTTAATTGACACGTCATCAGTATGGAGTTTCTGCGTTCGCTCCTCAGACGTCAATAGGGACCTTAAGATCCGAGGACGGCGACGGCAGAGAAAACGTCGCTGAAAAAGTGAATTCGCGTTCTTTCAGTCTTCATCGCTTTGTCAAATGTAGGTGAACCCTAACTGAATTGAATTCCTAAGAACCATATCCAAGTTCAGAAAGAGGGAGGAAATTTCGTAGTCGCTTGTGTTCTTCCTCTGTACAACGTGAAATTAGGCATTCTCACGTCGTAGTCGTGCAGTGACGGGAAAGAAATGTACCAAAAGGCATGATGCAGGTGCAAAATTGTTGTTTTAGCTATTAAACCTATTGCTTTTTTGACGTCCTCGTTGCCGTCGCCGTCGCCGGATCTTAAGGTCCCTACTGACTTCGTGGGCAAACCAGTGAAAGCATCGTCGCAAAATGTCGGCTATTTTCTTAGGCTAAAAACGTTAGTGTAGTTTTTCCCTCTTTTCATTGGCTTCATAAGCATATTGTTCACGTTTTTCTTAATCACAGAAAAAACAATGTTGGTACATTGAATTTCACCGTGTCATTCTTGAAGCTCGTTTACCATGGGGAGGCAGTCCGGTGTGAAAAGGAAGCAAATGAAAAATTATAATTAAACTCCTAAAGGAAACCAATCTGGGCTTGGCAAAGGCTTTATTTAGCACCTAAAGGAAGTTGCTCTCGATTTGCATAATGATGGCGGCAACACGCCCAAAGACGTTCGGGTGTTGGGGGGCGGGGACGGGGCGGGGAGTACTTAGGTTAATTTTTACTGGGTATGTGCCGCTGACCTCTCAGAGCCCCTACCCCATTATAGTCTATTCTGTGGCCAATTATAGACCCTATCGCAGTCACTTTTGGACAAATATGTAATTTTTCTCGATCCCTACTTAGTCACTTTCTATTGATGTATCTACCTTATCAATCCTTTGAATAGGGCATCCTAAAATGAATTTACTTTTCACCTACAGAAAAAAACATTCTGGCATGTTTGCTAACATATATATATAGATTTAGCCAGGGCTAAAAGCGAAGTTCTCGTTAATATCTATAGTTTACTAAACAAATTATAAAATCGTGTAACGCCAAGGGGCGAAGGCAACGAAAACAGCCAAAAAAATCAGTAGGTCTAATTAGCAAAAAAAAACTTTGCACGTGCAGCACACCTTTTTTCTAATTAATTGCCGTTGTTTTACACGACTACAACGTGAAACTTCGAGGCAGAAACTTCCTAGTTACACGTTTTATGGAGGAAATGTTGCATGTGTTCCTGTTCACTTTATTTTTCGGCTGCCGCTCATTTTCATCTTGGTAGCAGCTAGCATTTCCCCTTTTTCTCACCGCCGCTATAATTTTTTTTTGTTATTCTTACGACGAAACTGGTCTACTTTGTTTTTTATCTCTCGCTCAGCTCTTTCTCTGTTATTCACGTCATTTAGACATCGAAATTAAGTCGAAAGAAAGAATCAGCTTTTGTTTTTTTTGTTTTTATCTCTAAAAGGCCGGGAAGCTATGCGATTTACCGACGAAACGCGCGGGTGCTTGAAATGCAAAATTTCATCCAGGCTTACATGAAGGGGTCCTCGTACGTACGGACGATTTTCTCAGAACCAAAATTTCTCGGATGCATAGATAACCAAATTTTCTTACCCATGGTGCTCCGCTGCGCGCGCTTGGCGCCCGCGAGAGCTCCGCTTTGCAAGAATTTTCTTACCCCAAAGATCCGAAAATGTGCTACCCATTATGGAAACTCCATTGAAAATGCAACCCCATCAGTAGTCAATCCAGTCGTGAAAATGTGACCCCATGCAGCAGCACATCCCCATTAGCCTCTTATAAGAAAGTACACCCGGGATCCAAATGCTCCTTATACTAGTTCAAAATTCATCTTTGAAGATACTTCTTAGTGCCTACATGGATTCTGTCAGCACCAGAATTGACAACCTGATGAAAGATGGCTAAGATTCCTAAATCAGTCTGGTTACGTCACAAAGCTAAATACTACTTGCCCTCAAAATCTCTTCTTACACTATATTATGCACTTATTTATCGATATCTTACTGCAATTTAATTTGGGCCTCTACTTATGTCACCTACCTGCACCAAATCTACCTACTTCAGCAAAAAGAAGTCCGGGGGAAGATCTCTAAGGCTGTCTACAACTGAGGCTTCAAGTAAACCTCTTTACCTATCTCCTTTACTCAAATCTTTCAAACTGGAAATCAGATTCATCAATATTAAACCAGAAACCCTGACTTTTACCGACATCATACTTGTAGAACAAATATTAAGAAATTTTCGATCCTGTTTCAAGATCCTAGAATGTATAATTCTTTACCGAACTAACATCAAAGACGCCCCAACGTTTAACGTATTTAAGCGACCGATAAAACCATTTTTAAGGGTCCGAAAGGATGCAAGTTTAATATCTGATTACCTAGATATCTATATTTGTTCAGTATACATACTTATATCCTTAAAATAGTACACGTCTTTTTTTCCTTATATTTTTAAATGACGCCTAGCATTTAAATTGCCGGTGGGGGGAAATCTCCATTTCTTATAAGGTCGCAGTCAATCCGTCCAAGTTGAATTTAATGTTATTATAATATCTATTTATTATGCTTTTACTTCTCCTTGCTGTAGATTATCTTGTGTGGCAAAATAATAAAAAAATAGAAATAATAAAATCATTGTAAAACAGACAACCCAAAATAAGAACTGAATTGATTGTAATTGCGCTAAGGATGTTGAATTTTTGTGCTGTCTTTAACACAGTTGGACTACGTTTGTTATTGTTAGACACTCTTATATGCAACTCTGAGCGAAACCTGTATGGGTAAAAACACCCAAAATCTTGCCCGCCCCGAACACCGAATGTGAGACAAAAATCCGCAATTTTCAATTCGCAAGTATATCTTATGAGTAAGAATAGAAAAATGTACATACATACATACTTTGTTAGTATTCCCCAGGTGGCTTTTCAATACTAAAAAAAAGCAAAGAACATTCTAATAAAAAATGAATAAAATTATAAAAAGCGGTCATTAAAATAATTCTTTAGCATGTGCGTTTTCAACTTTTTTTTAAATGTTAAAGATAACTGTTTAAAGTCTTTGTCAGGAAACGTCGCTGTCCTGACTTTGTCTTGCTTGGAGGAATATCAAGGGATTCTCTGTTTCTAGTGTTATGATAGTGAATAGACTTGCGTCTTCGGGGAGACTCACACAAGTATGTGGGGCCAGGCCCTTCATGCACCTAAACGTCATTACAGTGTCTCTGTAGTGGAGATGCTCATTTAGCGGTAGCAATTTGATCTCAGGTAACGCAGGTTTTATGTGCTCAAATTTCTTGTTTTTTTGTGATGATTCTGCACGCAAAATTCTGAACAGC